AACTCCTACTTCTTGAATAGAAATATTTATTTATGCCCTGAAAGATGGGAGGGGGTGCGGGGGCAGGACAGCGGACCCTTCAGGAAGGATTTTCAAGCTCTAGGTATTGATTCTTCCCACCGAGGAGGGTCTGAGTCCCTGATCCTGTCCCGTCTCCAGAAGTATCCCTGCTTTCAACTGGGTAGACTCTTCCCTCATCTCTTTCTCTCTTTTCGTGTGTGTGTGTGTGTGTGTGTGTGTGTTGGTTGACATGACAAGAAGTCCAGGATGGACCAGCTTCAGGCACAGCAGAATCCAGGTGTAAAGATGATGTCATCATGCATCTATTTCTCTCCATCTCTTGGTTTTGCTTGCCTCTGGGCCAGCTTCATTCTCGGGCAGGCTCTTCCCTCCTGGCTCCTGGCTCAATCTTAGCGCCTCCCTTAGAAAGCCCGTGACCCTGCTTGGCTTGGATTTGGGTTACGTGCCCTCCCTGAGCTACTCACTGTGGCCAGGAGAACGTGGCACAGTCATTATTAGGCAGACTAGAATCGTGTGTGTACCCCAGGAACTAGAGAGGGGGGTCTGTGGGGCAGAGGTAGTTCCTCAAAGGAAGTCAGGGTACTGTTATCAGAAGAAGGGGGAATGGATGCTGGGCAGGCAAAGCCAGCAGATAGCCACCCCATCTCCACTGGTAAACCCCAGTGCAAATGACATCTAACCATTTTCTCTTGCCATGCAGAGGCCCACCGAGGCACATTCTCCATGGAGCTGCCATTTCAGTGATATTCCAGGCAGTGTGTGTGACCCGAGGGTGGCTCTGAGATTTCAGGACAGAGGGACAAAGAAAGGGGGTGCTGTGGAATAAATGGTGGCCTCAAAGGAGATATGTTGTGTCCTACCCCCTGCAACATGTGACTGTGATCTCCTTCGGAAAAAGGGTCTTTGCAGGTGTTACTACATTAAGGATCTTGAGATGAGGAAATGATCCTGGATTAGCCAGGTGCGGGCCATAGTCCAGTGACAAGTGTCCTTACAAGAGACAGAGGAGGAGAAGAACATGCACAGAAGAAGGCCACATGAGCCCAGAGGCAGAGACTGGAGGAAGAGGCCACAAGCCCAGGAAGGCCTGGAGCCACCAGAAACTGGAAGGAGCAAGAAACGATTCTCCCCTAGAGCTCGAGAGGGAGTCAGGTCCTGCCGACACCCTGGTTTTAGACTTCTACTCTCCAGAGCTGTGAAAAAATAGGTGCCTGTTATGGTCATTGGTTTCAGCGGCTACAGGAAACCAATATGGGGAAGCTGATCAGAGTCGAGAGTCGGGTCCCTCTTCTGTTTCCTTGGTTTTGTGGTTTGCAACTTCTGCTGGGCTGTCTGCCTCCTGAAGCATTTCAAGGAAGACCTGGAGGTGGGGCACTCCTCTCGCGGGGCAGGGGGAGGGAGGGCAGGAAGAGCTCCCTGAGGGCGTCAGCTCCCAGCCTCCACGGCTGTGTGACCCTGGCCGAATCCCTTTCCCTCTCTGGGCCTCTGGGAGCCAGGCAGCACCGATCCCGGCCACAAGCGGTTCGGCATGGGCTGTGTCTGACCATCACCATGACTCTGCTCTGTTTGGCGGTCACAGACCACCAGCACCGGGCTGAGCTGGATGGACACAGGAGCCAAGGGAAGGTCAGAGGTGGAGTGCCCCGACTGTGGGCCATCAAGGAGTGACAATCTTCGGGCAGAGGAGCCATTTCTAGGCACCTGGGCCCATACCGATGCTCCTGACGGCAGAGGGGGGAGGGGCCACAAAGCTGGTGGCGAGGGCCCAGCCAGCCGGGGGTGGTCAGGCCTTTGGCCCTTTGACCCACCAGCTGTGTGCATCTCACCCTCACTTCCTGCCTGAGATGGATCATGGCGGGTGGGGGGGGTCCTGAGGAGCTCAGAGGAGCTCAGAGCAGGGAAGTGGCCACAGTCAACAAGCTAACTGGAAACACCTCCCTGTTGCAGGGGGTGGGGGCAGTGGCAATATGCCAGCCACTGCTGACAAGGGCCAGGACTTGGGCCGCAGCTGCGAGGCCCATCCCGGGGGGCCAGGAGCATGCTTTGGACCTGAGGTCACACGGGTACTGGGCTGTGGCCAACTTGGCCCTGCGCACAGTTTCTATTCCTGGGTTTTGGGCTCCAGGACCAAATACGGCACTGCTTGGGACTGGCACTCTCCACTGGGGCAGGCGCGGGCTCGGGTGGCACATCCTGCCACCCCAACAGGCCCAGACCCCACCCTATCCCACGGAAGAGCCAGATCATCCCAACACTGCGGGGGCCCCTGGGCGGCTGGGACCTCGATCTGTCCAACTCTGTCCACTCCTCAGTGTGGTTCACATTGGGTTAAAAATACCCAGGACCAAAATAGCCTCTCCTTGCAGGGGAAAACCAGGGCAGGGGAACACAAGGTTCTTGACTTCTATTGGCTCTGCCGCTCACAACCCAGCTGGGGGGATCCCAGGCTGCTCACCTGACCTCTGGCCCCGATGCTCATGGCTCCTTCGGTCCCTCGCCGATTTGCTAACTCACTGACTTACCCACTCTTTAATTCGCTCCTTCGTTAATTCACTCGCTAATCATTCATCGATTCGCGCACTCATTGATTCGCTCCTTCATTGACTCGTTTACTCCTTCACTTACCCACACGCTGAGTCACTCGCTCACTCGATATTTACTGACTGCACACCCAACGCCATCTATTTAGATGCTGAGCAAAACACAAAAAATACCCATCCTTGTGGAGTGATGTTCCACATAAATAACCCGCACAAATGAGTACAAGATGTCCTGTATGCTAGATGAAGCACCGGGGACAGTGAACTCCACAGGAGGCCATGAAGTGACGGGAGGTGGGACTTTGGGGCTGGGAGGCCCCCCAGGAAGATGATTTCCGAGTGAGGACCAGAGGGAGGTGAGGGAAGGAGCCAGGTGAACAGCTGTGGGAAGAACGTTCCAAGCAGAGGGAACAGCATACACACAGGCCCTGAGAAGGCAATATGGGGCGGGGGGGCGGGGACGGGTTTGAGAAAGAGCGAGCAGGTGGGGCGTGGCTGGGGTAGAGCAGATGATGAGGAGAGACGCGGGGTGTGAGGCCAGGGGTGGGGGACACACGCAGGACCTAGTGAACCTGGGCCTCCCACATCACTGAGGGTCTCACAGACAAATGACATGTCCTGGCTTGTGTCTTCGGAGTGTCCCTCTGGCTGCCGGGGGAGTGAGTCCGTGAGGGAGCAGATCAGGGAGAGGGCGAGTCAGTTTGTGTGGGCCCACTGTGTGCCAGGCACTGAGCCGGGCTCTGGCAGGGGGAAGGTGCGCAGGCCCGCGTGGTGCTTACAGAGGCCCATCTGGCTAAGGCCCTCCCATCAGTGTCAGCTCTCCAGGAAGCCACCTTCACCTGGCTCTGTTGGACCCTTTGCTCCATTTCAGCTGTCACCAGCGTCGTCCTTGTCTGTTTCCAGATGGTTCCCCCCCACGCGCTGAGAGCTCCCCCAGGGCAGAGCTGCAGCCTAGCTCTTCCCTTCTCCCAAGCACCCTCCCTATGGGGCCGAGAGAGCCAGTGAATCGATGAACAAGTGACCCTGTGTGGCTGGGGGATGAGGCCTCCGTGAGCCCGCCACCCTCCTCACTCTGTGTCTCCCCGTCTTTTTCAGATGGATTTGTGGGTGCGGAGAGTGTGTGGAAGGGCCGTGTTCCTGTTGGCAGAAGAGTCTGGCTGCTGAGCCAGGGCGTGTCTCCCAGAGGGCTGCCGGGCTGCCGGATCCCCACCTCGCCGCCATGGGCCGCCCAGGCTGGTCAGTTACCAGCCAGTGACGTCAGCGCGGTTCCCAGCTCTCCACTGGGAGGGCACACCAAAGGCTCGAGTCCCAGCCTCCTGGCGCCACTCTCAGGCCGTGAGACCTGTCTGTCCTGGGGAGGGGTTGACTCCGGCACCCGTTAGCCCCCAGGCTGCGCGGTCCCTCCACCCCACTGTGTGTCCACATTTCCTGGCCTCTAAACTAGAAATGATCCAACCACCCCTGGGGTTACAGAGAGCCAGAGGGGGTGTGCATGGGGCACTGAGAATTTAGAAGACGCTGAGTAAACGCTGGCTGGGATTCTGTGACTAGTGAGAACAGACCAGGTGAATGTGCACCGAGTCCCCAAAGTGCCAGGCATGTTCCCACATCCCCTGCACCGTTTCTCTCCCAGGCAGGACGGTACCGTGTTGAGAGAGTAGACTCTGGAGCCAGGTGGCCTGGCTTCAAGCCCGCACCCCGCCACTTGCCTGCCACAGGACCGTGTGTGAGTTACCAGACTTCTCGGTGCCTCGAGGTCCTCACCTGTGAGATGGGGGTGATGATCACCACTGCACAGGGCGGCCGTGGGGGTTCAGCGAGTTAAATGTGTATGACGTCCCAGTCAGGCCACCTGGCACATGTGTGGTGACGGTCAACCCTTTAGTGGGTTCCAGTGTTCTTGCCCTGGAGGTGTGAGCTGAGTGAGTTGCCCCAGGTCTTAGCTGGTTCAGGCAGACTCGAGGTCCCATGTCTCCCAGGTGCTCCCATAGCCCTGCCCTCGGGGACAGAGCCCAAGCCTATTTCCTCTCCCCAGCCACCTGCCGGGCCCCCAGGATGTTCTTGGTTGCTGGCCAGGTGGACATCACCAGGAGAAGGTGAGGGTCGAAGGGCAATAGTCCTAGGCTCCCGGCCTGTGTCTATAAGAAGCACGGTCCAGGGCAGGGGCTGGGGAAGCCAGCTGCCCAGGAGACTCCATTGTGTCTGAGACAAGGGCTTTAGGACCCAGCATGCATCCCCGTGTGCCTGGAGCCCACTCGCCCTGCAGGCTTGCCTGCCAGCGCCTTAGCACGCCAGTGCCCAGGCCTGCCCAAGCCCCAGGCTTTTCTGCCGAAAGGTCCCAAGGCTACTTGGCAGTCTGGCCTCTTGGAGCAGCTCCAGGCCTGGCACAATTGTGGAACTGAATGGGGCTAAGGGGTCCATGGGCTAGGCCTCGAATCACGGGCTGCCAGTGGCCTGAGGGGCCCAGGCGTCACGGGACAGAGAGGCCTGTGGGCCACGTGGCAGAGGCATCACTTCTGACAACCTCGCTTGTGCCAGACCCTGGCGTGGGCCCGCGATGGCCCTATGTGGGAGGTAGCACTGGCTCAGGTGTCGGGAAGCTCCCAGGTGTGTCACAGAGAGCAAAAGGGACTCTGCCCAGACCGTGGCCCCTGGCCTGCCGTTCCCGTTTTGCAGGTGAGGAAGGAGGTGGGACTCAGAGCCAGCAGGCCCGTGGGCTTTTGGAAGCCCGCTTTGGCCGTAGCTGGTGCTTGTGGGAAGTGTTTTTCAGGCCAGCGATGCCAGCAGTCTGCCCTAATGTGATGCTCGTCTCTTGCAGACCAGCCAGTTCGTGCTGTGGCCTCCTGGTGTCATCTGGGGAGAACATGTCCAGGCCCCCTGAGTGCCTGCTGCGGCTGCGCCGGGGAGCCCCAAGGCAGCGCATCTGCACCCTGTTCATCATCAGCTTCAAGTTCACGTTTTTCATCTCCATCATGATCTACTGGCACATTGCGGGAGAGCCCAGGGGCCAAAGAGAGTTCTCTAACTTGCCTGCCGACGTCCCCTGCCCCCGACTGGGGCCCCCTACGCTGCTTTCCAGCACCCCGCCTCCGGGCAACATCTTCTTCCTGGAGACGTCAGACCGGACCAACCCCAACTTCCTATTCACGTGCTCGGTGGAGTCGGCCGCCAGGGCCCACCCGGAGTCCCGGGTGGTGGTCCTGATGAAGGGGCTGCCCGGCGGGAACGCCTCCCTGCCCCGGCACCTGGGCCTCTCGCTCCTGGGCTGCTTCCCCAACGTCCACCTGCTCCCGCTGGACCTGGACGAGCTGTTCCGGGGCACGCCACTGGCGGCCTGGTACGCGGCCCGGCAGCGCCGCTGGGAGCCCTACCCGCTGCCCGTGCTCTCCGACGCCTCCCGGATCGCGCTCCTGTGGAAGTTCGGCGGCATCTACCTGGACACGGACTTCATCGTCCTCAAGAACCTGCAGAATCTGACCAACACGCTGGGCACTCAGTCCCGCTATGTCCTCAACGGTGCCTTCCTGGCCTTCGAGCGCCACCACGAGTTCATGGCGCTGTGCATGCACGACTTCGTGGCCCACTACAACGGCTGGATCTGGGGCCACCAGGGCCCACAGCTGCTCACGCGGGTCTTCAAGAAGTGGTGCTCCATCCGCAGCCTGGACGAGAGTCACGCCTGCCGCGGCGTCACCGCCCTGCCCTGCGAGGCCTTCTACCCCATCCCCTGGCAGGACTGGAAGAAGTACTTCCAGGAGGTCAGCCCCGAGGAGCTGCACCGGCTGCTCAAGGCCACCTACGCTGTCCACGTGTGGAACAAGAAGAGCCAGGGCACGCGCCTTGAAGCCACGTCCCGGGCGCTGCTGGCCCAGCTCCATGCCCGCTACTGCCCCACGACGCATGAGGCCATGAAGATGTACTTGTGAGGGGCCCGCTGGGCCACCCTCCCCGCACCACCAGGCGCCCTGACAGCGAAGGGCTCCTGGCCACCTTTCCTGGTGGGGGCGAGACGGGAGGGCCCGGGAGAGGGAGGCCGGAGTTGCCGCAGCCTAGGATTCGGGCAGGCTCGGGGGGTGGGTGGGGAGCTGTTGGTCCCAGAGGTGTGCCTGGAGGATGCGCTGCAGGCCCCCGGATCCGCTCCCTTCAGGGTGAGGCCGGTGGGACACCCCCAGGCCAGTGTGCTTTCTCAGGGTGAAGGCAACAAGTGGGGGGGTGGGGGAGGCACCAGCCAGAATCAGCTGGAGTAAGCCAGGGGAGCATCTGGGTCTTCTGGACAACACACCAGAGCCGTGCACGTCAAAGCGGCTTCCAGGATGTCATGGGGAGGCCAGGCTGGTGGGGGCCCGGGGTGCCCACAAAGAGAACATGGATGGAGAAGCCCCAGTACAGGGGTGGGAAGGAGAGGGGAGCTCCTGAGGAAAGCGGGGAGGCAGCAGGGCTGCACACCCAGCCTCGTGAGCCTGGGTTGGGGGGGCAGGGTGCTTTGCTCTTCTCTGCCTTTGGTTTCTTCTTCAGAGGAGCCGGCCTGGGGAGCCCTTTGGGGGAGGCTTGCCTGCTCGCCCCATTCTCTCTCCTTTCCACAGATGTTGCAGGGGTGCCATGCGCCAGCCGGCCACTCCAGGGCATGGCAGCGTGGCGTTCTTTTGGCTCAGGAAAAGCATTTTAAGAAAACCACCCCCCACGCTGCCCACAATAAACACGGGATAATAAACATAATAAAAGCAACTCCCTGACACCAAGTGCTTGGTGGTTGATAAAAGGAATCCACTCCCACAAGCCCGCATTAGCCCCATTCTGGAGATAGGGAAGCAGCTGGGGGGCCGTGTCATGACATGCTTGAGGTCACCCAGCCCTGCCCGGAGAGCAGTCCAGGGACCCAGGGGGTGGGGGTGGGTTGGGGGGCCCAGCCAGACACCCCAGGAGCCCATTACCAGAGTAGGGGCATGCTGCCCCCAGGCCTAGAGGGGTAGGTGTCAGGGTCTGTGGGGTCCCTCCTGGCCCAGATCCTGGGAAAGACCGGAAGTGCTCTACAGGCAGCCGCAGGGCTGGGTAGGAGGCAAATGCTCTCTGCCAGGTGTGGCCCCGGCTGGTTTGTGCTGAGGAAGCCCTCTCTGAGAGCTGGGCATTCTAGCCAGGCTGGAGAAGCACTTCCCTGAGGGACCAGGGGTGCTGCCAGGCACTCTGGGAGTCGGCAGGCTGCTCTTTGGCAGCCGAGGGGGAGATGTTTAGAGACCTCTGGATTCTGACCTTCTTGGGCAGCCTAGTTAGGAAGTGAGCTCCCCGGCTCTAGGGGTATTCAAGAACAGGTGATATTTTGATGACAACAATGGATTCCATGTCAGTTATTTCTCCAACCACAACATCATTCACGCTTTTTAAAAAAATATTTATTTGAGAGAGGTTGTGAATGAGAGAGAGAGTGCACGGGCAGGGGGGAGGGGCCGAGGGAGGGGGAGAAGCAGGCTTCTCGCTGAGCAGGGAGCCCAACCCAGGCCTCCATCCCAGGACGCTGAGATCATGACCCGAGCCGAAGGCAGACGCTTAACTGACTTTGCCACCCAGGCGCCCTAACTATATATACTTAAGCAAGTAAGACAGACGCCCTCATAGGTTCAAGCCTTGTGTAATCAGTCACTTGGCCATGGCATGTGAGTGCCTACTAGGCACGAGCGTGCAGAGAGGACAGTGTCACCCGCTCAGCCTCCACGCCCCTATGGTTCCCTATTGCCTGACTCGGGCTGGATTACAGGTCCACCATGGTCCTGCCCTCTCCAGCCTTGGGCATTGCCCTCCACTCACGCTTAACTGCATAATTTTTTTTCTTCCCCAGAGAGAGAGAGAGCCTGTACTTGCTTGGCGGCAGGCGGGGGGGTGCAGAGAGAATCTTAAGAATCTTAAGCAGACTCCATGCCCAGAGCAGAGCCTGACGCAGCGCTCGACCTCACGACCCTGAGATCATGACCTGAACCAAAACCGAGAGTTGGATGCTTCCCTGACTGAGCCACCCAGGCGCCTCTAAACTGCACATTCTTGACTCTTCTCCCTCTGCTAATGGCCACAGGTTGATACTCGTACACTGCTGCGCAATGCCCTTCCCAGCCATCTTCACCAACAGACTCCTGTTCCTTCCCATAAGGCTGACGTTCCCTCCAGGAAGCCTTCTCTGACTGCCCTTCCTCCAGCCCCACAGCTCCCAAGCATCTCCCTTGACTGTTGGGTTCTTGGCCTGTTCCCCCAAAGATCTTGTGGGGAGAGCCATGCCAAAGCCCTCTCAGGGCTATTCCTGGGTTTGGTCTCAGGCTCCCAGCGGGGCACATCCATGTCACTTTGGGGGGGATGGGGACTTCAAGGAGTTCCCAGCAGTCCATGCAGAGCTGAGGGACCCACTCTGGGGGCATCAGAAAGATCGCTGCACCCCTGACACCTTCTAACCCAGGGGCCCTGGCCAGGCTGGAGTAGCTGAAGCCAGTTCTGTCAGAACACAGCTTGGCCAAATGTTTACAGACCTTCTCAGAGGACCTCATTCTGGAAATGGGGCCCAGAAGGGAGCCTTGGCCCCAGACGCTCCTCACATCATGCCAGTCAGGGCCAAAAATGGGAGAAGTCTCAGATGTTCCTGGCATCCTTTCTCTGAGGAAGTGGGCAGGCAGGGGAACGTAGGGGGGCACAGAGGTGACTTTTCCTCTCTCATGTTCCACGAAGGACCCTCCATCCATCAACCTGACAGCTGGGAGGGGGAGGGCTGTACTTCGCTGAGCCTGCCCCAAACCCAGCCTCTTAATGCAGCAGATAGAAACCAGTCAGGATCCCCCTGGCCAGAAATAACAGCAGCATCCTGGAGAAAAGAGGCTGAGGGGATGGGTGTGGGCGAGCAGAGGGAAGGTGGAAAGGCTGATTCATCTCCCAGCTCTGAGGCCACAAGGTGCCACCCTCACCACCCAGCCCTGTGGACCCCAGACTCTGTCCATCCTGGTGGAGTGTTCTTGGCCCTCTTTTGGTCTGGGAGGAATCGTCCTAATGCCCAGGGCAGAGCAGGGGAGCGTGAGGATCCCCCTTGCTGCCTCCTGGCCTCTGTGCCCTGGCCAGGGCCGTGCCTTGTTGCCTCTTGTGCAGAAATGGATGGGACCAGCCTCCTCACATAGTTGTGGCGATTGAATGGGCCGGCAGGGCACCTGGCACGGAGTACAGTATATATAACACCCCTCCCCAAATGCTATGTGGGGAAACTGAGGCTTAGCCAGTACGGGCCAGCACTGAGATTTGAACCCAGCCCTGAGCGGTCCTGAGGCCCGAGCTCCAGGCAGGAAGGAGGCAGGCTCCAGGAGCTGGAGAGGGTTCTTCCCTTTCTTTGAGAGGGTTTTTCCTGACCTCCCTGTGCAACATCCACAGACCAGAGCACCATCCCCCCACCCCACCCACACACCCCTTCCCGGTTCCTCTGCCTCTCCCCCATTCCGTTGAGACCCTGTGCTTGGTGCTGTCCCATCCCAAGCTCACAGTTGCCTGATGCCCTGGCAACCTTGGGCTGCCCCCCTTCATGGTAGGAGCTGGAACATTTGCCGGGCAACTGAGTTCTCCAGTTCTCGGAAAAGAGAAAGGAAGAGCCGGCTCTGTGGAAACCTGCCCTGGGGACAGTAATCAGATCCTAGGAACCCTGTGGTTTGTTTCTGGCGGCTGCTGCGTTTGCAGATGTTTTTGTCTGGGAGTTGGGGAAGACGAGGGCCCATCCCTTCATGGGGGTTCAGCAAGGGGCCCAGCAGGGCCTGAGGCAGGTGTGTTGTCAATAATTGAATGAACCTTCCCAGCTGACCAAGCACAGGCAAGGAGGGCAGTAGCCTGCCCAGCAGCGCTGGGGTGAGGGAATGATCTCCTTTGCCTCTGTATCAATACTCAACTTCTTGTTCAAGTATTACATTGGAATGTCCTCCATCTGAGTGCCTAACAGAGACAAAGGATGAGTGAGTAACTAAGAAGTGTGTTCCTGGAAGTCTGGCTTCATGGTTCACTTGTTCCTAAATCTCTGCTAGTCCTGATAGGGGCGGCCCAGTGCAAGGCACGCTGGGAATTCAGCTGTGAGGTCCGGGCTTGAGACTGGACACAGCTTTCGGGACCTGACAACCGGCCGTGGACTCAAGGGTGATCTGGGCTATGGGGGAGGGAACACCCACTTTCCTGGGCAAGGGGCCATAGTAGGAGGGAACCAAGGTGGTGGGTGAGACTGAACTGCGGGGGGGGAGGGCCCCAAACAGGAAGACATTCGTCACAGCCGTGGTCCACCACCAACACAAATCAGAACCCAGCCCCCAGCCCCACCAAGTTCCAAGGAGAGAAACAAGATCTGAGAGAGAGCCTCTGGCTGCTAGAAACAACGCAGGGTGATTGAAACCACAAAGGCATTTATCGTCCCACATGATGTATCGGTTAAGGTACCCAGGGAGCTGCTGTAATGAAAAGACTCCAAAAGAGAGTTGCCTAAAGAAGGCAGAAGTTTGTTCCTCTCTCACGTCACAGGCCCCAGGTGAGTACTCCGAGGCCCATGGGGCTGCTCCGCCATCCCCGAGATGGGGCATCTAAAAGGCTCCAGCTGCTGCCATTTTCCAGCTAGTGGGAAGGGGGGGAGAGAGTGCCCAGGGCAACCTGCTTTAATCCAGAAGTTTGCATACACTCCTGCTCACATCCCATTGGCCTGGACTTAATCACTTGGCCACACCCAGCTGCCAAAGCTGGTCTGAAGCTGGGGGTCAAGCAGCCAGCTAAAACTCATCCTGTTCTATTCCTAAACAGATGGCAGGAAAAATGGACCCAAGAGAACAGTTAGCAGTGTCGGTCACATAACCAGGAGTCTGGTGATAGAGGGCCTCCAGGGTTGGTTAAGTCAGTAGCTCATCGACATCTTCATATCTTCAAGGATCTCATGAGTTGATTTTTGGTCTCAAGGTCGTCCCCTCAAGGCTTCAAGATTGTTGCCACTGCTCCAAGCATCATACCCTCATGCACTAATCAAAAAGGCAGAGTAGAGAATGTTCCTCCCTTGTGTCTGGG